TCCAGCAACAGTCGAGTAATGGTGTTTTGAACACTCGAACACTTCGACAAAAATAGTATTCGCCATCCCGAAATCGCAATAAGAATATATTAACAAAAATAATCCGAAAATAAATTTCACGTGTTTTCCAAGAGACAAACCAAAGTTGATGAATTAAAGATTATCTATTCGCGATAACAGCAGAGAAAGAACGATTTAGTTAGCTATTTATTATTAACCCGATTCACGTTGTTTGCATATTCAACTCGTGTTTCGTAATGTATTCCATTACGTCAGAAGTATCCATGAGTTCGTAGTTAACGGTTATTCATTTTACGATGATTTATAGATTCACACGTAGATGAAAATTGATTTAGCTTCGAAATATAATTTTATTTCGAGAGGTTACATTTTTGTAACTGAAATAGTGGATGTAAAAATTCATTCTCAGTCTTATCATAAATAATGTATTTCGATATAAGAATATGGTGACATTTGTTTGTTTTTAGAATAAAATATTACGGTATTTCGTCGTTTATGATCGCGCTAGAATTTTGAAAAATTTGTGGAACAAAGATGGTCGATATTGACAATTTACAAAATTTTTGATGATCTTGATCTTTAAATGCAGTATTCGTTAATCGAGAGAAGAGAATATAGATCACGAGCTATTATTTTGAGGAAGAAACGAAAATTTTACGAACACTGTAGTGCTTGTAGGAATCCTTAGGATTTGGAGAATCCTGAAAGTTCTAAGCTTCTTGAGAATTCGAGATATCCTGGAGAATACCAGGAAGGTTTCAGGTGTTTCAGCAGATTCCAAACATGTCCACGCAGTGGTAGTTTGTCCAATGTAACAGACACTAAAAAAGCATGTTTAAACGAAAAATGATTTTCGTTCTTTCACAGTTTTATTTCGTTTATGAATTTTTATTTCATTTTAATGACGCCATATTTCAAGATTCTTCTGCATAGTATACACTGAAAAATATATTTTTAAATACACTTTCAAATAAATTTCTTTCGATGTTCGTGATTCGCTACGCTGATTTCACGAGTGACCAAAATAGGTCGCGACATGTAGTTTGAAAAACGCTGCAACAGAATGAATAACAAAACGCTCATGCACACTATGTGCTGCAGTTGTGTGAACGCGCCCTAACATTTCTTTGAACGTGTTCCACTTGGGTATGCGATATTATGGTAGTAGAGGCGCATTTGTGAGACCACTCCTTGCTGCGGACGTTGTGGAATGACAACGTGGAACATGTTAGTCCTTGAAGTACCACAGACACAAATTTTGGTATCATTTTGGAAACTACTTCTACCATCTTTATAAAGAATTTGTAAACGTGGTCGTGGATAAACGCAGTCACGTTTGGTTTCACTGCTAGTGGAAATTTTAACTATCATTGGAGCTCTAGAATTTTATTTTAAATAAAAAATTTAATTTATGTTCGTAAATTAATTTTGAATGAAAATATTTTTTACAAACTCTTTTTACAGGCCTTAATAAGAATTTGTGAACACGATCGTTAAAAAAGTGCAGCCATGTTTGATTTCACTGCTGCTGAAAATTTTAAGTATAATTGGAGAGGTTTATTACAGTTTTTGTTTCAAGTCAAAAATTGAATTTACATTTATAAATTAATTTTAAATAAAAATATGCCATATATATGTTGCGATTTGTTGCAATTTCTTGTAAACGAGTTTCAAGTATAATTCTCTCTTGATAGAGGAATATTTATAAAAATTAGATCTTGTCTGAAAATTTTCATTTTCACGTTGATTGATAAATAAGATACCTTATTTTATGACAATTTGAAACTTCAATTTCATTTCTAATAATTTAATCACTGTCAGATATTTCTAATTAAAATAACTAAAAAATAAAATTCCATTTCTTCGACTATTTCTTAAATACATAGTTAATAAATTATACATTAAATTCCTAATTAATTCAATTTAATTGAATTAATTATTTGAGAAAATGACAACTTTTGCAAGAATGCTACTATAAATCGTGGAAATACTCGGATTGTCAATAATTACTTCAGCTTTCCTATTATTGGAGCGTTTCACGATAGTAACTCGCGAATCAAGGATTGCTCGCACTTTTTACTGCAAGCGTGCAGATTATACGAACACCTTGCTGCAATATCTTGGGAGAATACGAGTGAAAGGAACGGGTTATGAACTCACAATACTTCTTCTAACGGTGGTTCCGTTTTATCGATTTACGTTAGATATTCTTATCAGAATCTACCTTCAGATCATCATCGGTACTTAATAACCAAGAATTTAAATTTCAGTGAGAGTGAAAGAAGCGAATTTAATTTCTCGAGAGCCTTCTTGAAGAATAATTTAGTCGAAGGAAGCGAAAGGAACTTCGTGTTTTTGAATAATTTTTTGGTTCAATCTGGAAAATTTATGTATCGTAGAAAAAATTTTTAAAGAACGTTAAAGAGTTTAATTTTAAAATGTTTCGAATTTCAGGGAAAGTGAAATGGAAAAGAATTACGATTTTAATTTCTTCATCTCCATCTTGAAAAATAGGAAAACAGTTGCTTTATTTTCAATATTAATTAGTTAAATTTTGACATTATGTAAGAAGTTGTAAAAGAATATTAAACAATTCAATTTTAGAATGCTTCAAGCTTCAGTGAAAGGAAGAAAAATGAATGCACTTTTAATTCCTTGACCACGATCTTAAAAAAATGATTAATTTATTCAAAAGAAACACGTTGCTTTGTTTTTATGTTGTTTTTGCGATTAATTAAGGAATTATATCCTGCAAGAAATGGTGGAAGAATGTGGAACAATTCAATTTTGAGACGATCTTAATTCCTCGGTCACCATCTTGAAACATGATTAAAAATCAAAAGGAACAAGTTCTTCTTCTTTTCACGTTATATTCGTTTTTAAATTTAAAAAAATTGGAAAATTATAAAAAATGTATTTTCTGAGTTATAAGCAAATACAAGAAAAATTTGCTGGTTATATAGAAACGAATTCAAAATGCTAGAATATTTTCTTTACTTCTTGAAAGGTTAACACAATTGACAAGCATCCTTTTTTGTACAAACCTGTAATTGAATTGTTCGACAATGTAATTTTCTATGCAAAGAGAGATCGATGTTGTTTCCAGTCCAACAATCGATTTAGAATTACGAATCAATAATATCAATCATGAATTACGATTAATATTGTTAATCTCGAATTACGAATTAATATAATTAATCTTGAATTATGAATTGATATAATTAACCTAAAGTTATGAATTAATCTTATCAATTAATCTGGAGTTTCGAATTAATACAATTAATCTGTAATTACGAATGAATAATAGAAATCACGAATTACGATTAATGTGATTGAACTGAAATTCCGAATTAATATAATTAATTTATAATTACGAGTGAATGATAGAAATCACGATTTACGATCGATATGATTAATCTAAAATTACTAATTAACGCAAATAATTTCGAATCACGAGTTAATGATACGAATTAATAACGAACAGAAATAAGAATAGAAATTTCTACAAGTAAACAAGTCTTCGAGTGCAAGGAAAAATTGATATATCGTTTCCAGCCTAGCGAATTGATCTAGAATTACGAATTCCAGTCATGCCCGTTAAGCATCCAAGCTGGAACGGTATTGCCTTTTACTATTGTTTCACGCTAACCGATTACCAACACTGTTCTTATGCAATAATTTCGTTGCCTCCTCGACGCAGCTCGGCTCTCTCTCTACGTGCGCACGACAAGATAGTACATCGCTCGGGACGCCATTCATACACTGGGAGGATGTTTTGAATATTACAATGATGCACGTAAAGACTGGCTCTATATACTGACCTTAATTACGTGTATATAGGAACTTAGCATAAGGCTCAGATTAGACGGAAAGCAAACGTGTCTATACAGCTCTCTGCAAGGACTTTGCATTCATACCTTTAGAAAGTAACCTGGTATATTGATTCTAATTACGCATATGTGCAAAAATTTCCAAGCTTTAACAGCAGACAAATTATGTAAAGATTTGCAAAGATTTCGTTGGTAACACAGATGTATCATAAAATACAATGGTTGCAAAAAGTATCTGCATAACATTAAATCTCTTCAGGAATTTAATTTAAGGATAAGGCAAGTCGTAAAAAAATATCTTAGTATTTCAGCTTTTTGCTCATTTCGTGTGATAAATTTTCTTTGTATCAACGATCTTGTACAGTTGTGCGAAACGCTGAATAAATTATAAAAATTTTGCTCTTTTGACATAAAACCGCAAGATACAAGATATTTCGTTCCACTAGTAAACTGTACAAAAGCAGAGTTTATCGTTGAATCGAACGTTTCTTAACTATTCAAATTTTATAATGATACAACGAATGAAATGGGAAAATATAAAGACGAGTAAACAAAGAATATTAATTATGGTCCATTTGCAAATGCGTGTCAATGTTAATTACACTGGCAGATAAGCATCAGAGTTCCAAGATATTGAATATTCCTGAGAGTAATTCCATAAATATTTCTGTTTCTTATTTTTGCAACTATTTCTGGGACTGATGTAACTCACACTTTTTTCCCTATTATTTACAATTCCTTCGACAGGATAATAATAATTCATGAATGAATAGCAACCTTGCATGACGTGTTACGCATAGAACATTTGTTTAAGACAATTATTACACAAAACCCATTATGTAAATGTCGAGGGCTATGATGCGTATAGCGTTTGAATAGTACGCCCAGGAGAACCATTTATTTATGCATTCACCATAATTACCTTCTTGGAATTCTCCATTACCACATTTCTATTATGTAAAAGTATTGGCATTGCACGTGTCATGCTTGATATTTGCTCTTTAGAATGAATTTTGACTGTGATCAATTTGAAAAATATTGCATCGCGTAATTTACAGATAAATTAATCATTATTGTTATATTGGATAAATTCATTTTAGTTACGTTTATATTTATTATTCCTATGTTTTGTTTCAGATTGAAAATTGATGTTTTGAAAGAAAATGAAATCTGACTAAGCACGATGTTGTCAAAATACCTTATCATTGTCTTATTTTTGATATATGGTAAGTATTAGTCGTAATTTATATTCTGATATTGTATTTAATCTTTATGGAATTACATATACAACGAAAGAATTATTCAAGTCTTATAAATGTCCTAAAGATACTGTAACTTGGAATTATTACTTACGAATTTAATAACATTTACAAGAATATCTTTTGCAAGCTTAAATCACATTTGTATTCATAATATTCAAATTTTTTCCAAATCTTAATTCTTTATTTACTTATTGTTATAAGTCAAATCCAAACATCGTGTTATCATACGAATTTCTAATATTGCAAAATCTACCATAAATAATACGTAACAATAATAATAACATCAATAATAATTATTATACTTGCAATAATAATAATTAGAAGATAATAATATTATAATAATCATAAATAACAAAAGTCATGAAAAAAATGCAAAAATAGATAATTATTTAAATAGAAAATTTAGATTTTTAATAATTTAAATTAAAAAACGGATCTGTTAAAACGGAAATATTATCCAAAGAGAATGAGAAACAACGATGGATCGATTCCAATTCGATTCCTTTGAATTCTTCTATCTGTCAAAGCCAAGTCGCTTTTAAACCTATATATTTTTCATGGCACTTCGATCCAGTGTAGTGCAGGTTGATCAGAAGGTTTCAGTAGGAGTACCTTAGACATTTCTTTATTACCAAATGGCTACTCGTTCCCACACTTGCCACGTACTAGACAGATATACGTGTATGCACGTACTCTTCTGTAATGTAAAGGACTTCGATTTGAAAGCAACGACGTGCGCATTTCGTTACAGCATCGGTTGCTTGAAATTTTGAACACGACATTCAGCTGCGAAATTAACTATGATTCAAATGTAAATTTCGCGAAGGTAGAAATTTAGTAGGAGACAAAACACGTACAACTTGGCTTTGACAGATCAGATCCAACGATTTTGAAAGATCGTTCGCCTCCTCATTTTCATTGCTATATACAAATTTACTTGCATACATTGGACAGAAATTATTAACTTTGTTATCATTATGTTGCAGAGAATGCTATAATTTTAGATATATTATTTATTGATTTCTAATAATACTTTATATCTCCCATCCTGTAAACTTATTTCTTTTACTTATTTGTACACTTATTTCAGTTTAATTACTATTACTCATAAGTAGATATTATATAATTGAGTTATCTATAAATTATTACCTATAATGTTGTCTATAATATTAACTATAAATTAAAAATTGGTATAGTACTACAATAGTTGATGCTCATAAAAAGATAAATTGTGAAGAATCTATGGTTTTATCTATAAATTTGATAAAGTAACTGTCATGAATAATAATTACTGTCAATTTTATTCTATTATACTTATTATTTGTGGATAATATGTGTATGTACTTTTACACTAAGAGAATAGATTTGTTGCAAAACAGAGTAATTCCAGAGCAGGAAAATTATTTTTTTTGTTGTAAATAAATTAAAAGAATTGTACGTATTACGACTTCCTTTAACTTCTAAGTACAATTATTCAAACTGGAATAACTGTTACTTCATTTTACGGTAACTTGTCAATTTATTCCATTCCGATTGTACTTTATAAATCATGTAATAATACAAACACCTCGTAGAAAGTACGTTACTTAGCACGTTGTATAATTACATTACGCAGTAAAAAATTTTGAAAAGATCTATTACATCGCGTTTCAACACAACTTTTATTCGCTAAATTTGAAATAAAATGAAACATTAAACATATACAGAAAAATAAATGAAATTTTAATTAATGCGAGTAAATATAAATAATAAGAATAACAAGAACAACAATAGAAGTGAATACGAATAATAAAAATTTTAATATAAACGTACAGTAGAAAATTCAATATGATCGCAACGAAAATAACGATATGCGCACATCGAAGTAAATAAATGACTTAAGTCAAAGAAAAATGACAACAAAAACTTGATTTCTAAATCATGATGTCAACTAAAATATAATAAAGATATTTCTCAAATTAAACGCAATATATTATATACCCTGCGTTTTTGCATTCTCTGCATATATTTACTCATATTTGCATCTACGTTTCGGTATCAGAAAAAAAGAAGGAAAAAATTGAAGAAACGCTATAAATTTCTTTTGTATTACATATTTGGAAAACGAATATTTTTTTGTTCTCTTTTTTAGCAATCCTTTTTTCATCCTAAAATTTCGAATTATCGCGTTATGCGTTTGGTAACGTAACGCGTTACATAAAAACATTACACTTTACGACAATTCTTCGAACGATCGATCACGTACACAAGCAAAGATAGGCGGTATTAAGGAATATTTGATTTCACTTTTAGTTACAGAATGCGCGACCCAAGTTTACAAGAACCACTCGGTCGAAACTGCTATAGCAAATAAGCCTACGGTTGTAAACGATGACTTTATTACACAAACCGTCTATGGATTCTTGGATTTCACTACCACTATCGGAAACACGGTGATGGTGTTCAGCCCACAAAGTGCACCAGGAGGTATAATTTCGTATTTTTCTGTTTAAAAGAAAATTCCTTGCTTACAGGGTAGCTACCCTATTCCAGTGTCTTTATTATCTTTAATAGAAAATTGTTACAAATTTATAAATATAGTTATATATATATTGCAAATGTATATGTATAATTATGTATATATATGTTGCATATGTAGCAATATATACACTGCTAGTGTAACTACGCATATACTGCAAATGTACATAATTATCTATATGATGCAAATATAACTATGTATATATTGTAAATGTAACTGTGATACATATATATTTCAAATTTGTATTTTAAAATCAATACGACTTATTATTACTAATTTATTACAATTCATAATAATTTGTAACAATTTTAAAACTGTAATAATTTTGAAAATTCAAACTGGAATGGAAAATCAAATTTTGCGATATTTCCAGGACCCTTCAATTTTACCCGAAATTTATAAAAATCTGAAGGAACATTTGAAATTTTCTTCGATATAAAATTTCGACGACGTCCAACGACTTTCGTTACTTACCTGTACCGTCTTTCAGACAGTGAAAAGGCAAAGAAAAGCAGCGATTCGGTTATCCAAACGAAACCAAGCGAAACGAAGGAAAAAGTGGCTCCTGCTATCCAACCAAGCAAAACGCACAAGATAAATTCTGAGGATGAAACGAAAAAACAAACCAAAGGCACAAAGGTTGTTGTAAATTCCGTCATCGAGCAAAACGTCATTAATTCTACCGAGGATAATGGATTGCAACCGCTGAAGAACCAGGTGAGATAAATTAGCGATACTCTTCGTGAATATTGAGAGGAAAAAAAATATTTCTCCATATTATAATCCAACGATTTATTTACCGCGCGTGATTTCCTATTTTCGAAAATCAGAATCCCGAATCTCGCGTTACGCTGTCAGGGATCAAAATAAATGCAGTAAGTTAAAATATTCGTGTACAGAAGTAGGAAGTACATATACTTTCCCTTTCGCGAAACAAACTTTTCAGGTTTATATCGTCTATTCGTGCTTATCTATGTATTTCTCTGTATATACGATCATATACGAGGTTCCTGCTTTCATACGATCGCATAAACTCGAGCTAAACGATGACTTTTCAGTCATAAATTATAGATCGTATATCCAATATTTTCTTTACATAAACTTCTTGCTTTAATTTTTGCAGGAGTTGTAATTAAAAGCCTAGTTTGTAAATCTGTATATTACATAACTTGTAATATACAATCTTAATTTCGCGAAAACTTTTCGCTGTGATAAATGTCGTTTGTGATATCTGATACAATATTTATGTATAATATTTAATATTTTTTAAAGTTGTTTATTATTTATTGAGTTTTGATGGAATTTAGAGAATTTGTATGCGATATGGTAATATAATTTAAGAACGAAATCTTTGCTTTAATTTTTATGCAATTTATGACAAAGTGTTCTATTTCGTTTTATGTACCATAGAATGTATATTTTAAGCTTTATGAAAATGTTTTTATAAATTACATATAGTATCCAATATAATATTCGTACATAATTTTTAAATTAAAACAAAATTGCACTATCCTACAAATTTTAACTTTTTCTCCAATCTGTAATATCCGTTAAGTGATTCTTGTGGAATATACTTTCCTGAACACGAATCCGTAATCAAAATTGTTCTCTCACACTCAGTTTCCAAAAAATGCGAGTTTTTCTAAAAAGCCACGATTTTTGGCTAAAATGAAGTATTACATAAAAAGTAAGAATGTTAAGAGGTCCATTGTTATCTTGCAAGTTATGTGAGAGGATCCCAAGCTTATCAATGTCCATAATTATAATTATTTCTGCCCCTGAATAAATATATTTAATCATCAAATTTTAAAAATATGCTGCCGATTATACTTTCCACTCATATTCTTGCATTCTCAGAAAAAGTTCTTTATTTAACATAAATTTGCTACACGGTATTATATTGTGTAGGTTTTTGTGAAAAAGAAACCATGGAACAGAATTGTCGAAATAGTTTTCAATTCAATTAGATCGAGAAAATATTCGTCCGTAACGTGTATACGATGTTTGAACCCCACATACCCATTGCGCGCTTCTCTAGACTCGACAGTACCGTAGCTACGCATGATCCCAGTACCAAGCGCATATATATCTTTCTTGTCTTTACAATGTTATTTATTCATCGTTTTGATCTTCATTTGAGATTTTTTTACTGTACACATTTTAAACAATCAATAACATATTAGTTAATAACTAAGATATTATAAGTGAAAACAAACTGATAAAATTAATAGTAAATATTGTTTATATATAATTATTGTATTTTCTTTTATGTTATTGTAAAAGTAGCAAGGTATTAAAAAAAAAATGTATAAAATGTGCAGAAAAATATGCTACATAGTACGAATAGTGGTACTAAATAAATTTAATACACCCACAATACAATCCGTTGATACGGCACTAATAACGTCGATAAGGTAGACAAGGACAGAATTCGAGCGCCTTCGATCAGCGCCATCTATGATTTTGGACCAGATGATCAGAAAAGTAATAGGAATGTAGAATGAGCAAGGAGGTCGTCCACACCTGGTCATGTGAGAGACAAGGACGGAAAGCGGATAGAAAAGGATAGAATGGACTCGGCAGGGAAAAATCACAAATTACCAAGTTTCTGTAATTAATCTACGAACTTTTATAATTACATTGTGAAGCGGAAACTATTGGCAACATTCTAATGTAAAATTCGACAGCAATTTGTTGCTAATTAGCTTGCTATTAATAATTATTTTATGGCGTTCATGATTTCGTAACATTGACCGGGATAATCTTTCGAGAAAATATTAAATAATGAATAAATCTAGAAATAAAATGTGAACAAAAGTTATATGAGAAGATGCCCAAGGATATTCTCTTCATTATGTGTCCATCTAATTCATAAATTGACTACGCAGAAAATAGTAATTAACGAAAAACCAATGGCGTCTTCGACAACAATTCAAACACTGCATAGAATATTAATTAATAATAAATTAATTAGGGACAAATCTATATCGAAAAATATATTGGAAAGTTCTTGACGGGTCTGCCTTTACGATGCAATTATAAAAGTTCATAAATTAATCCCAGATATTGAGTAATTAATTAATCTTCTAATAAAAATTCGAAAAGGAACAGTCAGCGCCGCCTATGATTTTTACCTGCAAGCTTGTGCTCCGTTAGTTCCAGTACAAAATCATAGGTAGCGCTGACTGTTCCTTTTTCAATTTTTATAAGAAAATTAATTAATTACTCAATATCTGTGATTAATTTATGAACTTTTATAAATGCATCGTAAAGGCAGATCTTTCAGGTACTTTTCAATATAACCCTCGATATAAATTTGTCCCTAATTAAGTAATTATTAATTATTATTCTACGGAGTGTTTGAATTGTTGTCGAAAATGCCATTCGTTTTTCGTTAATTACTATCCTTTACGCAATTAATTTGTGAAACTTTATGCACTAATTAGAAAAACAATGTTCTTGCGAATCTTCTCATATCACTTTTATTCACATTTTGTTTCTAGTTTTGCCTAGTATTAAATATTTCCACGGAAGATCGTGACAGTTGTCGTTACGAAATCATGGACGCCATTAGACGATAATCAATAACTAACAATTTAGAGTTAAATTCTTTACGAAAATTATATAGGAATGTAGCCTGAAGTTCCAGCTTTGCAATGAAATTATAAAAGTTCATAAATTAGTTACAGAAATTGAGTAATTAATTAATTTTTCACGGCCGGAGCCCTTCTATCCTTTTCTATCCCCTCTCTGTCCTATTACTTTCGTGATTTTTGAGCCCAAATCATAGATGGCGCTGATTGAAGGCGCTTAAATTTGAATCGGTTATTATCCTAATAAATTTATTCGGCAGTGGAAAATTAACAAATCCGGAGTTTCAGTAATTAATTCGTGAATTTTTATAATTGCATCTCACCCTCTGTGCAATAATTATTACAAATTAATTAATTAAAAAGGAATTAATTTATCTAGAATTACTAAAGGTGTTAAATGCATAAAAAAAATAAGTATGTATAATTTTCTTCCTATCGCAATGAAATTAATAGTAACTTTCGATAGAACAACTATAAATTTACAATATTTTATGCATGAGACCACTTTGATAATTCTAATATTAAAATAAATCAAACTCTTGGTACAAAGATTAAGTTGTATCATTTATTTAATTACATTGTTAATACAAATCTTAATCAGTAATATTCATTGTGTAATTCTTGCAGAGTTTATTTTCCTTGAAACAAATCTGCAAACAAAATTGCTCTATTACTCTCAGATATCGAAGAATATTAGTTTCTCCAAAAACGTGTAATTTATATGTGAGATCTTTCTCCTACTCACTTTCTATGTGCAGTTGTATTCACTCCTGTTGCAGAACTTTTATTCTGTAGATAAGTTGCGAAATACACAGCTTTTATCCATAATTTCTTCTCCATTCCAGTCGTACAAGAGTGCTCGTATGTTATCCAATAATGTTCGATTAATCCTTTCCATTCAGTTGAGGTGTTTACAGTGTCGTATAATCCAGTATAATTACTTTCTGTCTGCATCAATTTTTGTATTCTAGACTGACAAACACACATCCCTCCATTATAGCATCTAAGTCTGTGTGTTATTCCACTTTTCTTCTGCTGCTGCAACACAAACAATGTCTGTAATGCTTCAATATTTGATTCCATAACATAAATCCTTACAAAATTAGTAAAATCTAAGACTGTCAATCACATACCTATTCCTGTCCCATGCCTCTGGCTGTATAAGCTCACATGAATTAGAATGTTTTGTTTCCAACTGACTCTTCAACCTTGTTCTTGTCTCTCCAAATGGAATCTTCGATTGCTTTGCTTCACAAAAATATCCTGCATTCTCCAATTCCTGTCTTTACTACTCTTTTCGTTAATTTCATTTTCAATACTTTCGTGGACAACTATTTCATATTCCCCATACATAGATTCCCCAACTTTCTGTGTCTTTCTACCAGCTTCTTGTTCCTTTCTACTAGTATAAAGACCATTATTATCCATCTTCCCTACGAATATTTCTTCTTTATTCTTAAGAGCTATTACTTCATTTTCCTTGAGCATTACTTCACCACTATCTCCAGTTATCAGATTTACTGACAATAAATTCTGTCTCAAGTGTAGAACACAAACAATATTCAAGTATCTGGCTCTATTCTAACTTTCGCTTTAGCTTCCATGGAAATATTTCTTTACACTACTCCAATTTCCATTCTTATTTCTTCCTACTTTTAAAATATTCCAGTTTAGTAACTATATGGATCATTGTTCCCCAGTCCAAAACCCATTATTCTGTTCCATTGCTCTCTGTCAAGAAGCACACTTTCCTCTTTTTATCTTGATCTCCTTTTCTTTCCTTTCTTTCCTTTCTCTATAAAACCACAATCTAAATGATTTTTCCAAATAATTAGACTTCTTACATGTAACACACAAGGAGTGCACTTCTTGAGTTTCGTCTTGTCTTTCTAATCCTAGAAATTTATCTGATTTTTATCCTAATCTTTCAAAACTAAAATATTTAATTTCTTTATTACCTTATTTGTTTGTTCAATATGTACTCGCAAAATGTTTAGTGGAGTTGAACTTGAAACACCACGCCTCCTGGACTATGATGGCTACACATTCATTTTGATCTGCTTTTCCCTTGCTTCCTTGGCAATCAGTTCAGTTTTGAGATTATCTATTTCCTTTTCTTCTTTC